ACCTGGGGAAGGAGCTAGAAACCCATGTGACAGAAGTCAATAGATCTCCAAACTTTATCAATGTAAAAAGACTAACTCCATGGCATAGAGTAGCAAAGCTAGCAAAAATCAATGACAGAAAAAATACTAAGGGAAGCAAGACAGAAGAAAATAACCTACCAAGGAACCCTATCAGGCTGTCAGCAGATTTCTCAGCAGGAACCTTACAGGCTAGAAGAGAGTGGAATGATATATTCAAAATTCTGAAAGAGAAAAACTTTCCGCCAAGAATACTCTATCCAGCGAAAATATTCTTTGAATATCATGGAGAAATAAAATGTTCCAAAATAAACAAAAGTTAAGGGAGTTCATTGCCACAAGACCCCATCATACAAGAAATCCTCAGGAAGGCCCTCATATCTAAAAATAAAAGGAAAAGGGTTGCAAAACCCTGAGCAAGGAGATAAGTAGGTAAACAAAATCAGAGAATTGCAGTTCTCCATCAGAACAGGTTGGCAAATGCTTAATTATAACATTAAAGATAAAGAGAAGGAAAACACCAAGAATATATATAATTCTGTCATTTTAAACATAATCTCACAACACAAGAAGAAAACAGACATGACAATAACAACTTAGAAGAGGAAGAGGAAAGGGATTAAACTAGCTTAGTCTAAGGAAATGAGAGGTTATCAGAAAATGGACTATCTCATCTATAAGCTGATTTATGCAAACCACATGGTAACCACTAAACAAATAATTAGAACAGAGACACAAATTACAAATAAGGAGAAAACTAAGAAAATCGGCATAGCAAACTCCCTAACTGAATTAGTAGTGCAAAATACATGGGACGAGAAACAAAGGAAATGCAGGAGAACCAGAAAACGAGCAATAAAATAGCAGCATTAGGCCCCCACATTTCAATAATCACTCTAAATGTAAATGGATTGAATTCTCCAGTCAAAAGACACAGAGTGGCAGGATGGATTAAAACACAAGACCCAACAGTAGGCTGCCTCCAGGAAATATACCTCAGCCCCAAAGACAAAGACGGACGCAGGGTGAAGCAATGGAAGATGATACGCTAAGCTAATGGTGAACAAAAGAAAGCAAGTGTCACCATATTTATATCAGATAAAGTAAATTTCAAGACAAAACAAGTGAAGAGAGACAAAGAGAGGCAGTTTCTAATGATAAAAGGGACACTCCACCAAGAAGACATGACACTAATAAATATTCATGCACTCAACACAGGAGCACTAAAGTACACAAAAAAACTATTAACAAAACCAAAAGGAGACATCAACAACAATACAATAATAGCAGGGGACCTCAACACACCACTTACACCAATGAATAGATCATCCAGGCAGAAAGTCAACAAGGAAATTGTAGAATTAAATGAAAAATTAGACCAGATGGACTTAATAGATATATATATATATAGAACACTCCATCCAAAAACAGCAGAATACACATTCTTCTCAAGTGTGCATGCAACATTCTCAAGGATAGACCAAAAATTGGGAAACAAAGCAAGCCTCAATAAATTTAATAGGATTGAAATAATATCAAGCACCTTTTGCTACTATAATGCTATGAAACTAGAAATCAGTTGCAAAAAAAATGCTGGTAAAAGAGCAAAGATGTGGAGATTAAACAACATGCTACTGAACGACCAATGAATCATTGAAGAAATCAAAGGAGAAATCAAATATTATCTGGAGACAAATAAAAATGAAAACACACCATACCAACTCATTTGAGATGCACCAAAAGTGGTCCTAAGAGGGAAATTCATTGCAATACAGGCTCAAGTCAAGAAAAATAAAAATCGCAAATAAGCAATCTTAAGCTACACCAAACGAATTAGAAAAAGAACAAACAAATCCCAAAGTCAGTAGAAGGAGGGAAATAATAAAAATTAGAGGAGAAATAAATTAAATTGAAACAAAAAAGACAGTAGAAAGGATCAATGAAACGAAGAGCTGATTCTTCAACAAAATAAACAAAATTGACAAACTCTTAGCCAGGCTCACGAAGGAAAAAAGAAAGAAGACTCAAATAAATAAAGATAGAAATGAAAGAGGAAAAATTACAACAGATACCAGAGGAATACCAAAGATTATAAGAGAATACTATGAAAAACTATATGCCAACAAATTGGACAACTTAGAAAAAAATGAATAAATTCTTATACTCTTACAACCTCCCAAAACTGAAACAAAAAGAAATAAAGAATCTGAATAGACCAATCACAAGTAAAGAGATTGAAACAGTAATCAAAAACCTCCCCAAAAGTAAAAGTCCAGGACCAGATGGCTTCTCTGGAGAATTCTACCAAACATTCAAAGGAGACTTAATTCCTATCCTTCTCAAACTATTCCAGAATTGTGAGGAAGATGGAACACTTCCTACCAAATACTATGAGGCCAACATCACCGTGATCCTAAAACAAGACGAAGGACAACACAAAGAAGGAAAATTACAGGCCAATATCCCCGATGAACATAGATGCAAAAATCCTCAACAAATATTGGCAAACCAAATAAAGGAATACATTAAAAAGATCATACACCATCATCAAATGGGATTTATACCAGGGACACAGGGATGATGCAACATCCACAAGTCAATCAATGTGATACACCACATTAACAAAGTGAGGAATAAAAACTGCATGATCATCTCAGTAGATGCAGAGAAAGCATTTGATAAGATCCAACATTCATTTATGATAAAAAAAAAAAAAAACACTCAATAAAATGGGTATAGAAGGAAAGTACCTCAGCATGATAAAGGCCATATATGACAAACCCACAGCCAACATCATACTCAATGGGGAAAAACTGAACGCCATCCCTCTGAAAACAGGAATAAGACAAGGGTGCCCATTTTCACCACTCTTATTGGAGGTTTTGGTCAGAGCAATTAGGCAAGAAAAAGAAATAAAAGAAATCCAAATAGGCTATGAAGAAGTGAAACTCTTGCTCTTTGCAGATGACATGATTTTATATATAGAAAACTCTAAAAATTCCATCAGAAAGCTACTAGAAATAATCAACAACTGCAGCAAAGTCCCTGGGTACAAAATTGACTTACAAAAATCCATTGCTTTTCTATACTCTAACAATGAACTAACAGAAAGAGAACTCAAGAACACAATCCCATGCACAATCACAGCAAAAAGATAAAAATATCTTGGAATAAATTTAACCAAGGAAGTGAAAAACCTATACAATGAAAACTACAAGACTTTCTTAAAAGAAACTGATGATGACCTAAAGAGATGGAAAGACATTCCACACACATGGATTGGAAGAATAAACATGGTTAAAATGTTCCTCCTATCTAAAGCAATCTACGGATTCAATGCAATCCCAATCAGAATACCAATGACATTCTTCACAGAAATAGAACAAAGAATCCTAAAATTCACATGGGGCAAAAAAAGATCCCGAATAGCTAAAGCAATCCTGAGAAAAAAGAACAAAGCTGGAGGCATCACAATCCCTAACTTCAAAATATACTAGAAAGCTATCATATTCAAAACAGTATGGTACTAGTACAAAAACAGGCACACAGATCAATGGAACAGAATTGAAAGCCCAGAAATAAAACCACACATCTACTAACAGCTAATCTTCAACAAAGGAGCTGAGATACACAATGGAGAAAGGAAAGTCTCTTCAACAAATGGTGTTTGGAAAACTGGACAGCCACATGTAAAAGAATGAAAGTAGACCATTCTCTTATGTCATTCAAATAATAAACTCAAAATGGATCAAAGACTTGAAGGTAAGACCTGAAACCATAAGACTTCTAGAAGAAAACATAAGCAGTACCTTCTCTGACTTCAGTCTTAAAAGGATCTTTTGGACATCACCTTTTCTCGGACAAAGGAAACAATAGAAAGAATAAACAAGTGAGACTTCATCACACTAAAGAGCTTCTACAAGGCAAGGGAAAACATGGGTGAAATGAAAAGACAACCCACTAACTGGGAAAAAATATTTTCAAATCATATATCTGACAAAGGGTTAATCTCCGTAATATATAAAGAACTCACACAACTCAACAACAAAAAAAATCAAATAAGCCAATTAAAAAATGGGCAGAGGATATGAACAGACATTTCTCCAAAGATATACAGATGGCCAATAGGCACATGAAAAGAGGCTCTCCATCACTTATCATCAGGGAAATGCAAATCAGAACTAGAATAAGATATCACCTTATACCCATTAGAATGGCTATAATAACAAAAACAAAAAATAACAAATGTTGGAGAGGTTGTGGAGAAAAAGGAACCCTCATCCACTGCTGCTGGGAATGCAAACTAGTGCAGCCACTATGGAAAACAGTATGCAAAGTTCTCAAAAACTTAAAAGTAGAAAAACCATATGACCCAGCTATCTCACTACTGGGTATTTATCCAAAGAACTTGAAATCAACAATTCAAAGAGACTTAGACACTCCTATGTTCACTGCAGCATTATTCACAATTGCCAGATGTGGAAGCAACCTAACCTCCCATGACTGATGACTGTATAAAGAAGATATGGTATATACATAAACAACGGAATACTACTCAGCCATAAAAAATGACAAAATCGTCCCTTTCAAAACAACATGGATGGACCTTGAGGATATTATGCTAAGCAAAATAAGCCAGATAGAGAAATAGAAACACTATATGACTCCACTCATACGTGGAAGATAAATAAACGCATGGACAAAGAGAAACAAATTAGTAGTTACCAGGGGAAGAGGGTGAGCACAAAGGGTAAAGGGGCACACCTGTAAGATTATGACAAATAATAATGTACAACTGAAATTTCACAATGTTGTAAACTATCATAACCTCAATAAAAAATATATATATATGGATCAAGTTTTGAGCAAAAAGTAGATTTATATCAAATCTTTATTTGTTAATTGAATCTAATCAATAGGGTTTTTCAAACTTAGACAGTACAAAAGGCTAAACTATTATAGACCAAAGCCTTGAGAGATACCTGTGTGGTCTGCAGTTCTTGAAACACAGTGGCCTGTGTCCTTATTACTTATGTTTCCTCTCGTGTCACTATTCCTTTTCAGGTTTCCAATATCATCATGCTGGGTGGTATTTGAATTATTTCCTTTCTGGCATTTTAGCAACACACCCTGAGAAACTTGAAAACAGGATTATTTTAAGGTTGGATAAATATCTTCTCTGTGCAAAGTCTCAAAAACAGATTCTTTGGAATGATTCTGATGACTGGAACAAGATAAAGATAACTGGAAATTAGATAACTAAAAAGTTTATTTTTAATTTTCGTGTCCATTTAATCAAAAATAATTTCAAACATTACACAGTCATTTCATTTATAGAACACACGTTTGTTGAGCATCTAATCTGTGCTAGGCAATGTCCTAAGAACTGGCGATACAGTAGCAAATAAAGCAAAGTTCCTGCCCGAGGGGGTATGCATGCTCTTTCCATGCTTTCTTAACGTTTTGCTGGAAGCTACACTGTGTTTACCCCATTATACCATAATTATTTTTTTAAAACCTGTTTCTTCCACTAAAACGTGAGATTTCTCACCATAATTATTACCTTCTTTTAATTTGAGGAATTTGTATTAATGTTTGGTGTATAGTAGTTGCTCAATAAATGTTTGTTGGCTCAAAACAAGAGTAACTAAATACAATCTAAGATACAATATATAAAAATTTTTAAGAAAAAAATGAAACTCTATCTAATCATAAGTATCTAAGAAATCCAAAAATACAGTTTCCAGATATACATCACACACACATACTTTCCTCCTATTAGCCTATATGCTATGTGAGGACAAGATGCTTATCTGATTTGACTACATATAAACACATTACTATGGAGCATAATATACTGCTTTATACATGCTAGTTCTGTACTAAATCTTTGTGAATGGAACGAAGAATGAATGAATGAATGAATGAATGGATATAAAAAAGATTCACAAAAATGTAAACCCTTTTCATATTTTTATTCAATCAAGATCTTTTAACTTACCCAACAGAGTCAAGGAGATCAAAGTCAAAACGAGAATACCATTTACTGTTCCAGATATTCCCAATAAGATTTTGTACCGGTGCAACATCTCACTATAATCTGAGAGATTAATCACATGAATTAGTTTATGAAAGCACATTTGCAAGAACTGATAGCAATTGTAATACTAGGATTGTATATAATATTGGTTTTGAATTTCAAAGGATATTAGGTAATCAAAGGCATAAAGCCTAAATAAATAGAAAAATACATATTTAATAATGAAAATACTCTGGATGGTCAGAAGCTATGATACACGTTATATTGAATGTTAAGAATTCGCTAATAAATGACCTTATTGACTGGTGGGAAAAAGAATTTTAATCTGTACGCCTAGTAAGTCCCCAAACCCACACATACACAAACATACTCGTGTGTGTGCATGTGCACTTACAGATACACTCATACATATTCACACAAATAAATGCTTTCCAAATAATCATTCACTTTAATGTAATATTTGCAAGTCATTTGACCCGTTTCATTTACTAACGATATAATACAAATCAGAACTAAATACGACTCCTGGTACTTGCCATTTTAATCTAAAAAAAAAATCCTAAAACCGTTCCTAATTCATACAATAGCAATGCTTCAGCTTCTTGTTAGATGGTAAACTTTTTAGAAGTTTTATTTTTTATATACATACACTGCTAGGTTCAGATAAGAGTGTGAACTCAGTGATGGTTATTAATCAAAAAACTGATAGCATTAAATAGAAAGGAAATAGTCACATTTAGTACCTTGAGTATATATGTTGTTATTTTTCTCAACCTCATTAAAGAAGACTTAGATGTGATGGAGGCTGGCTTATAGACGCATATGAGTAATTAGTTTGTACTGAATGAATGAACATCTATATTTTGCATAATAGTTTGTCTTTAGCAAAGATAATTTTTGCAAATGCATTATAATAATTGATAAGAAATCACTCCCCATAACTGTGGTTATCTTTATTGCTCAGTCAATAAATTGAATTATTAATACTAAAATTCATATTTCAAATACCCTTTTAACCTGCAGGAATAGGGAAACTACATTTGAAGTTGCCAAACTCTGTCAAGAAAGAGCATGATAAACCAAGTAGAACAGTGTTTCAGAGAAATAGTACACAGTTTTTCTCTTTTCACAATATTGGCAAAGATAGCAAAATAAGATTTATCAGAATTCAATTAATGAATAGCCTGCATTTCTCAGATTATTTTTGAGCATTGTAAAATTAGTAATGATAACGAATACATTCCAAGCATTCAATACATGTAATAAAAATGCCTTTTATTTATTTATAAAATCAGACAAACAAATGATTATGACAAAATGTTAGGAAATAGGATGTAGAAGCCTGTTCAAATTCAACTCAGACTGAATTATTTCTCCTAAGCATCATGGAATGACCTTCACGGCCCGAACTTGAGGCATATTAAGATTTAGAATTATGGAGAAAATAACATTTTCATTATCCTATATTTTGTCCTATAGAGAAATGGCATAATTTAACTTATGAGGTTACAGTAGAAGACTTTGGCCATCAAAAAGTAAAAAGAATTAAAAAGAATTACTCTTATAAGAGTGTCCATTAAAAATCTTAATTACACTGTTAGTAGCCAAAATATACCATGACCATGTTGAGTTTATTCTAGGAATGCAAGGGTTATTCAAAAGTAATAAGTCCAGATATATCTTATTAAGAGAGCTAACAGATATAAAAAATGTAATTGATAAAATCCTACAATTTATTGTTAAAAAATAAAGCGGAAATTGATGGATACGTCTTAAACACAACAGGTTTTTTTGTCTAATGAAGCAAATATCATATTTAATTGAGAAACACTAGACCTTTTCCACAAAAGTTTGGAAAATAATTAACTCTAGTAAAAATGTTAAAGGAAAAAACTATTAAAAATAACTATAGATATAATAATTTGTTAATGAATACACAACATAAAAAGGGGTAAATTGTGAGTTCAAAAATATGAGAGACAGGCATTAAAAGCGTAGAGTTTTTGTTCACAATAGAAGTTACCAGTGTAAAATAGAGTGTTATAGTTATAAGGTGTTTTATGTAAGCCTCATGGTAACTACACAGCAAAAGCTACAATAAATACATTAAAATAAAATGGAATCAAATCATACTACTATGAAAAATCATTAATTCACAAAGGAAGACAGCAAGAGAGAGGAAAAGGAGCAAGGCAGCTACAAAAGAGCCTAAAAGCAGTTAATAAAATGACATTAGTAAGTCCTTACATATCAAAAACTGCTCTAAATATAAACAGATTAGATACTCTAATCAAAAGCCATAGAATGCCTGGATGGATAAAAAACAAGACTTAACTACATGCTGCTTACAGGAAACTCACTTAAGCTATAAGTTCACATGCAGGCTCAAAGAGAAAGGATGGAAAAACTATTTAATGCAAAGGAAAACTAAAAGAAAGTAGAGGTAGCTATACTTATATCAGACAAAATAAACTTTAAGTGAAAAGGTGCAACAAGAGATGAATAAGATCATTATATAATGATAAAGAGGTGAATTCATCAAGAGGATATAACAATCATAATTATATATGCACTCAGCATTGAAGCACCTAAATACATTAAGCAAATGCTAACAGATCTGAAAGGAGAAATAGACAACAATACAATAATAGTAGGCGATTTCAATCCCCCACATTCAATAACATATAGATCATCTAAAGAGAAAATCAATAAGAAAATGCAGGTCTTGAACTGTACTTTAAAATCAAATGGACTTAACAGACGTACACAAAGTATTACATCAAACAGCAGCAGAATATACATTTTTCTCAAGCACACAGAAAACTCTCCAGGATAGGTCATATGATAGATTAAAAAACAAGTCTTAACAAATTAAGAGGACTGAAATCATAACAAATATTTTTTCCAACTACAATGGTATAAAACTAGAAATCAAGACAGAAAAAAACTGGAAAATTCACAAATATGTCAAATTAAACAACACTCTCTGAATGAGCCATGAACCAAATCAAAAGGAACATTAAAAAAATCTTGAAACAAATAAACATGGAAATAAAGAATACAAAAACTTGTAGGATACAAAAAGGAAATTCTAATAGGGAAGTTTGCAGTCTTAAATGTCTACATTAATATAAAAAGAAAGATCCCAATTAAACAACCTAACTTTACACATCAAGGAACTAGAAAAAGAAGAACAAACGAAGTCCAAAGTTAGGAGAAGGAAGGAGATAACAAAGATCAAAGCAAAAATAAATGAAATAGAGAATAGAAAAAAAATCAATGACACTAAGTCGGTTTTTTGAAAAGATAAAAAAAAATTTAAAAATTTGCCTAGACTAAGAAAAAAAAGAAAAAAGACTTACATAAATAAAATCAGAAATGAAGAGAAGACATTACAACTGATACCACAAAAATACAAAGAGTCGTTAAGAGACTACTATGAACAATTACACACCAACAAATTGGACAACCTTAGAAATGAATAAATTCCTAGAAACAAACAACCTGGCAAGACCGAATCAGGAAGAAATAGAAAATCTGAACAGAATAATAACAACTAAGATTGAGTTAGTAATCCAAAACATTTCAAGAAAAAAAAGTCCAAAACCAAGCAGTTTCCCTAGGGAATTCTGCCAACACTTAAGGAGGAATTAACATCTCAAACTTTTCCAAAAAATTGAAGATGAGGGAGCACTCCTGAACTCATTTTACAAGGTCAGCATTACCCTGATACCAAAGCCAGATAAGGACACTACAAGAAAAGAAAATTACAAACTAATATTCCCAATCAATATAGACACAAAAATTCTCAACAAAATATTAGCCAATAAAATATAACCAAAAAATATTAGCACATTAAAAGGATCACACTCCATAATTAAGTGAGATTTATCCCTGGGATGCAAGAATGTTTCAATATGCACAAATCAATAAATGTGATTCACCACATTAATAGAATGAAAGATAAAAATCATATCATCATCTGAGTAGATGCAGAAAAAGCATTTGACAAAACACATCATCATCATCCTTTCAAGATAAAAATTTTCAACAAACTGGCTAATGAAGGAACATGGCTTGACATAATAAAGGGCATATATGACAAGCCCACAGCTAACATAACGCTCAATGGTGAAATGTTGAAAGCTTTTCCTCCAAGATCAGAAACAAGTCAAAAGAGAGCACTCTCACCACTTCTATTGAATGTAACATTGGAAGTCTTAGCCAGAGCAAGCAGGCAGAAAAAGAAATAAAGCCCATCCAAATCAGAAAGGAAGAGAAAAAATTGTCTTTGTGTATAGATGATGTGATCTTATATAGAGAAAATCCTAAAAACTCCACCAAAAAAACTGTTAGAAGTAATGAATAATGAACAAATTCAGTAAAGTTGCAGCACACAAAATCAACCTACAAAAATCAGTTGTGTTTATATCCAATAACAATGAAATATCTGAAAAGTAAATAAATAAAACAATCCTATGTACAATAGCCTCAAAGATGACAAAATAGTTAGGTATAATTTAACCAAGGTGATGAAAGATCTGTACAATGAAAACTACAAAACTTTCATGAAATAAATTGAAAAAAGATCCACAGACAAATGGAAAGATATCCTGTGTTCATGGACCAGAAAAATTAATATTGTTAAAAGGTCCATACTACCAAATACATCTATAGATTCAATGCAATCTTGATCAAAATTCCAACGGCATTTTTTACAGAAATAGAAAAAATCATAAAATTTGAATGGAAATACAAAAGTCCCCATTTAGTCAAAGCAATGCTGAGGAAGAACAATCCTATGAAAGAAGAAAAAAATCACATTCCCTGATTTCAAACTATATTACAAAGCTATTGTAATCAAAACAGTATGGTATTGGCATGAAAACAAATACACGGACCAATGGAACAGAATTGAGAGCCCAGAAACAAACCCTCACAAATATAGTCAACTAATATTTGACAAGAAAGCCAAGAACATTGAAATAGAAAATGACAATTTCTTCAATAATTGTGTTGGGAAAATGGATAACCACATTCAGAAAAATGAAATTAGACCTCTACCTTACACCACTAGCAAAAATTACCTCCAAATTAATTAAAGACTTAAATTTAAGACCTGGAACTATAAAATTCCTAGAAGAAAACATAGGAAAAAAGCTCCTTTATGTGGGTCTTGGTGGTGATTTCCTTGATACGACAGCAAAACTACAAGCAGCGAAAGCAAAAATATACAAGTGGGACTACATCAAACTAAAAAGCTTCTCTACATAAAAGGAAACCACCAACAAAATGAAACAGCAACCCCTATGGAATGGGAGAAAATACTTGAAAATCACATATCAGATAAAAGGTTAACATCCAAAAAGTTTAAGGAACTCTTACAACTTACTAGCAAAAAAAACAAACAATCCTATTAAAAAATAGGTAGAGGATCTGAATAGACAGTTTTTCAAAGACATACAAACTGCCAATAAGTATATGAAAAGGTATTCAATACTACTAATCATTAGGGAAACACAAATCAAAACCACAATGTGATATCTCTTTGCACTTGTTAGAATGGCTATTATCTAAAAATAAGAGATAAAAAGTGTTGGTGAGGACGAGGAGAACCTTGAACACTTGGACGCTGTTGGTGAGAACGTAAAATGGTGAAGTCACTAAGAAAAACAATATGGAGTTTCCTCAAAAATTTTTTTAAAAAGAACTACCATATCATCCAGCAACCTCTTTTCTGGATATTTATCCATCGGAAATGAAGACATAATCTCAAAAAGATATCTGCACTCATGTTCATTGTAGCATTATTCCCAATAGCCAAGATACAGAAACAACCTATGAGTCTGTCTGTGAATGAATGGATAAAGAACAATGCAATATTATTCAGCAATAAGAAAAAAGGGAATCCTACTATTTGTGACAATGTGGATGGAACTTGAGGGCAGTATGCTAAGTGAAATAAGTCAGACAGAGAAAGACAAACACAGTATGTTATCACTTACGTGTAGAATCTAACAAAGCCAAACTCACAGATAGAGCAGAATGGTGGTTGCCAGCGGCTAGGGAGTGGGGGAAATGGGGAGATGTCAGTCCACGTGTAAAACTTCCAGTTGTAAGATGAATAAGTTCTGGGGATCTACCATACAGAATGGTGATTATGGTTAACAACACTGTATTATATATTCTAAAATTGCTAAAAGAGTAGATTTTAAATGTTCTTACCACAAAAAAGAAAAAGTAATGATGTGAGGTGATGGAGGTGTCAACTAACCTTACTGTGGTAATCATTTTGCAATATATAAATGTATCAAATCATCACGTTGTACGCTTAAATCACATGCAATGTTATACATCAATTAGTTCTAAATAAAGCTGGGGGAAAAACATATTCCAAATCTCCACTCCTATTTAATATTTTGGGGAGGTATTATTCAATGCAATTAGATAACAAAAATTGAGATAAAAACAGAAAAAAAGAGGCACGATTATTTGAAGATAATATGAGTATGTGTTTGGCAAAGCTAAAAGAATCAATTGGAAAAAATGACTATAATCATACAAATAAAACAACGTAGTAAGTGCAGTCATAAAATTAACATTCTAAAAATCAATTGCCTTCATATATCCAACAAGCTTTTAAAAATACAAATAAAAGGAAGGCATTACTACGGATAGCTAACATAACAAATAACAAAAAAAAAAAATCAGAAATAAATTTAACAGGAAATGCCCCAAACTGATATGAGGAGAGCTAAATAAAAAACCAAACAAGCAAATAAAAAACTGAATAAGATGAAGGCAGATTTGAACAAATGGAAATTCAAGCGTGTTTGGATTGAAGGCTAAGGGTCACAGAGATCAATTTTCCCTAAATTAATTGATAAGTTAGGAAGTAATTTAGTATACTGTAAAACTATATTAGTTTGTTTTGTTTATTGTTGTTTGTGGCAAATGAGTCTAAGCAATTTATTATAAAACTATTTGGAAGAACAGGCAAGTGAGAATGGCCAAGTAAACACTGAAAAAGATGAAAATACAAAGTAGGACAACCCTATGGAGGGGTATTTGGAAAAAATAGCAGAATTATATAGGAGTTTACATTGTCATCCAGCAATCTGTCTTCCAGGAATCTGTCCCAATGACATATTGACAAGATATGAAAAAACATATGTGCAAGGCACTGCAACAAAATTTATAAAAGGGATATAATAGAAAAAGAATGCAAACATCATAAATGTCCATCAATAGGTGAATAAACTACAGTACATCCACTTAATAGAGAAATAGTCAGTCATATAAAGGATTAAAGTATACGTGTGTGTGGTGGGTATAATGAATTTCAGTAAAGGAAGGTGGGCAGAAGACAGTAAAAGGGACAGGATGGGAGCTAGATTTATGGGAGTTGGAAATTGCTGGAAGTACCTTGCTATATAGGTTTGACTTTGAAAACGCAGAAATGTTTTACATAATTCTAAAATAACTATAGTGTGTAATGTGTATATATGTGAAACATATAATTATAATTGCATAACATGTATACTTATCATAATTATAAAATAAGCCAAAATGAAATAAAGTGATCCCTCAAAATAAAATGGAAAACGATGTAAAGGAACCTAACTGGATATTACATTAGTAGCTTAACTGTAGAGAGAGGAATTTTTTCAAGTGAGTTTAAAACATAATTTGACTGTGTAAGTCCAATGGAATATATACGAAGAACAAAAAAAATTGCAAAAACATTTTAAGCTTTTTAAGTAATTATGTTATTAATACTACTATTTCTATGGTGATTCTGAAACTACATATGGAAAAAATGTATTTTCTTATTATCAGCACCAAGATATGAGAAAAGATATAGTATACAATCACAAAGTTAAGTGAAACCCTATATATAATGATAATGGTCAGATTATCAATTAGATTCAAATGTAATATGTCTTACTCACCCCAAGCTTTACTAAATATTTGTGAAGGACACAAATTAGCAAATAACACTTAAACATCTAGGATATATTAATGTATAACATTTAAATATCTAGGAGCTGTAAATTTATTATTTTCAGCTTCCTGAGCTCCTTTTCTGCAGAAAAACATGTTTTGGTTTCCTAGTGACATCTGCAAACTGAGTGTGAAAAGCGTTTGCACAGAGGAGCCATCACATTTTGCTGTCTTTCAGGTTAATATCTCTATTTTCCAAAACAAAAATTTTCACCTTGTGAAAAACATATTTTAAAGTTTTTGACAAGCTGAATTAAAATTTGGTATTATAAAATGCCATATTTTATGAATGGTAAGCAGGTGGATGACTGATATCAAATACTCATTTTTTAATTATTAATTTTAATTGAATGTGTCTATTTCCCGAGACTATCCTTAAAAAATTATATGACACAAAATATTTCTTTGAAGGAAAATAACCATTTGTTTCACAATGATAAATGAAAGAGAGAGAAAAATACAGAAACACAGGGAGATAGGGAGACAAGACTGAGACAGAGAGAGAGAGAAGTAAAAAAATGAAAACAGTCCAAGAACAGAAAAGAAAAGTATATTGGAAACTACTATTGACATTAATATTTGTATCAATATTAACCAATATTAAATCAATACTCATATTAATCCACACCAATTGAAAAAGAACTGAATTCCATACCTTTACATTTAAGTTGAGATGTTTGGCTAGAACTCCTTTTCTTTGACCGTACATTCAATGTCATGTATGTTTCTTCATCTTGCATCTTCAATGTGAGTGAATGTGTGTATATATATGTGTATGTTTTGTTTTTTTAAGTATGATGTGAATAAGAAAAGAATAATAAAGCCGCTGCTAATCAGAGATTGTCCTGAAATTGTCCACTCTAGATACATAGAAGTGTTCACAGTTTCGTTTATTGGTGAAAACCTCAGAGGAAATGTTTTCTTTTTAAGCTTATTTCCTATGACCTAGATAACACATAATTTCTCAACTATCTACCATATATTGAATTTAATATCATATTTGGATCTTTTAAAAGGTTCTTCTGATAAATCCATAAAGTCAGAAAAATGGAAATTGTACTATTTTTAGAGTTGAGTTAAATTATACATAACTGCCTTTTGTTTTACCCTAAATATGCTCGTTTTCAAATACACTCGCTAATGTATTAATATTTAATTTAATACAATAACTTATAATTACCTAACAGTTAAATTATTTCCTGATCCTAAAACAACATTGATTACAAATCATGCTACTACTTTAATAATACAAGTTGAAGAAAAAAATATTGGCAATGTTTGGCATTCTAAAATCTCATCCTAAATAGAAAAAAAAAATCAAGGAGAATTTAGGAAAGAAACCATATTTTTCAATTACATTTTCTGATATTTGAAGAGAATGCCCCAAATTAATGAGGCAGAGCAGAAATTTGAGATGTTTTTTCTCTTAGCTTTGTGAGGTTTAATTTACATACCATGAAATTCACTTGTAAGTATATATGAGTGGATGATTTTTAGGGAATATATGCAACCATCACCAAATTCAGTTTTAGAACTTTCCTATCACTCTAAAAATTTCCCTTGAGTCCAAACTAAAAAAAAAATACAGTTCTGAAAATACTAATTTTACGATTTGAGATAAAGTGGTTTAAAATTTGCACAACTAAATCTCAAATCTCGAGCAATTACAGCAAATGTGTAATGAAAACCAAAAGCCCTTAGCTGTGAGACTTCACCGGTGATGCAGAAGACTGAGAAAAGAGAGCTGAGTAGAGCAGACACCCATGAAAGTAGCACAACCAATCCTGGCATCACAGAGAGGGGCCCAGGGCCATTAGCCCTGACTCCTATTTCATTCCTCTGCTTTCTCTCTGAGCACCAACTGACCAATGGCAAGTGGAAGCCAGAGGCTAAGTTGACCCACACAGGTCAGTCTCCCAAGTCAGCCAGAGCAAAATGTAGAAGGTGGGCAGCGGAGCTGGAGGGGAAAACTATTGGTATGTGGTACAATAATGCTTTTTAATTTAGTAGTGACTTGATTATTATATTTGATATTATAACAGTTACCGTATGATTATTTTGGTTACTGCTTTTCTGTTACACATTTTCCCACCATGAGTTTTCAAATATTTGGTGTATTTATCAATAATCAAGTAGACAAAGTGACCTATCTTGTGGATGTCAGTCAGCCTCTTTCCGCAGCCATCCTGGAATTTATTAAATGGACACTAATAAAATTGTTCAAGACAGAAAAGATGGGAGCTATATAGATGCTCAATAATATGTTGCCTCATCAAGGTTGATTTTGCTAAAACCTCTGTTGAATGCCCAACCTGTCAATGGCAGAGACCAAGCAGAGTGCACTTTTTGAGGAAAATCAGTCAGCCACCTGATGGCAGATCTATTACTTAAGCCCCTTCCATCATGGACTAGATAATAGGAATTATTATCTTTGTCTTCATAGGAATAATCACATATTTTAGGAACAAAGTTGACTTCTCTGCCTGGAGTTCTTCCACTAGCATCACCATTCATAGAGTTACAAAATGTCTAATCTGTTGTAATGGTTTCCCACACAACCCTGAATTTGACATTTCATAGAAAAAAAAAAGTTTGGCAATCAGCTCATGCCTATAGAAGTTACTTTATCTATCCATAAGTAACTGAAATGGCTTTCTAAAGGCACACTAGTGACACCAGCTGGGGCCATAGTCAGAATGTACAGGTCTGTGAACCAAAGAATGGCATTAGAATTCAAATTCGAAGTGGTCCGCCACTATTACATCTAATAACAGACTTGAAGAAAACTGCTTCCTTTACCCAAGATTTTGTTTTTGTTGGGTTTACAGGTTCTAATGCCCAAAAGAAGACTGTTCTAATAAGGAACATGATCAAGGTCCTGATGAATTGGAAGTTGAGACTTCTTCTTTGCATTTTGGGCTCCTAAATCATTGAAACAACAGGCAGAGAAGAGGATAATCGTATAGGCTAAAATTGGGTTACTGTACACAAGGTTATTAGAACTATGCCTTGAACCCAGGAGATTTACAGGAGTAGCTTTTAGTACCATTTACCTTGACAGTCCTGGTAAATGCAGTGCTGAGCCAATCCAACAAAAATGCCATCAAGAACTCAGATCCTACAATAATGACAATCTGATTCATTACATGAGCCAAGCACGATATACAATTAAGTTGAGAGACAATGAGGCAAAAGAAACATGGAATGGATATCAATCTATACCTTATCTCCAGCTCCTGGAGAGGTAGATGTCTGCTGATGGAGACACAGACCTCAACAACACACACACACACACAAAATATATGAGTTCCATCTGTGACTCAGATAAAATAGTCTTGCATGTAAATAGCTCCCAAGTCCCAGAGACCTGTTGTCAAGTCTTATGTCAGAAGTTAGTGCAGAAATGACAAATCCATACCATGTTTAGAAGTTTCTGTTACTTCCACAAGTGATTTTTTTATTCATTTTAATAATTGGCTTTTAAAATTTAAATTAGAATCTAGCGTATTAGAAAATCTGTAGGATTTGTCTTGTCAAGCTAATTTGAGTGTACAGTTTCTCTAATTCTCATTACCAACAGTCAAAATTGATAAGAAAACTGTTTTTTTCAGTACTATTAAAAAGTGCAAAATAACCTGAATTTTCCCATTGTAAGTTTATTATATTTATTTCAAATGCTACAAAGTTCTTAGAAATCTAACAGAGAATCTTCTTAGATTTTTCCTGTCAATCCAGTCAAGAATTTGAAGTGCTTAAAGGGCACTAAAAAGTCAACTAATTCAACTAAAGGGTAACTAATTCAATAAATAGAATTAACCAGACTCCTGAGGAAGTCTCTGTGGTTGCCTGATGTGAACAATGTTTCCTTTGGCAATCCTAGTTGTAAATCGCTGTACATCATCCCACACAACTCCTCATGTGTATTTTCTCCTTCCTACTCTAAACTTCCAGGTCCTTTTCATTAAGGTTGACTTATCTGTGGCAAGAAGCACTGAGATAGGTTTCATTTCTGGATGAGTCATGGCTGGCTCCTTTTCATGGGATCCACACTGAGCCCAAAGGAAACATTCTCTTCAACCTTACCATTGGTAGGAGTTCATTTTACTCCCACCGCATCCACTTTTACTCTGTGGTTACCTGTGGTTCTAACCACACAGCCTTTCATATTGACATTATCAATCCCAAATCTTCCAAATCCCAGGAGACACTGCCTGCATATGTCAGGATTCTAACTTGGCCTGAGATTCAGAGAGAGATTCTTCTGCTTTCCACCAGGGAAGGATGTGGAGGAATGTAAAGCACACTGACAACTCTCTCCAGACAAATTCTCACTTTTCAATCTCTGAACACTCGTAAAATTTTTTATTTTTCTTTTCTAGACTTCTTTCTTTCTTCATTTTTTTTTAAATGGAAGTAAGGACACAACATAAGATCTGCCCTCTTAAAAAACCTTTAAGTGCACAATTCAGTACTGTCAACTACACTAACAATGTTGTGAAGCACATTTGTAGATGTTACTCATTTTGCATAACTGAAACTTCATATCTTTTGAATAATAACTCCCTATTTCCCCTGCCCTGGCCCCTGGCAACCACTATTCTACTCTCTGTTTCTGTGAGTTTGACTATTTTAGATATCTCATATAAATGGAATCTTGCAATATCTGTCAATCTGTGATGGGCTTATTTCACTTAGCATCACATCTTCCCAGTGCATCCACATTTTCTCATATGGCAGAATTTCCTTCCTTTTTAAGGTTGAATCATATTTCATTGCATGTATATATCACGTCTTCTTTATCCATTCATCTGTTGATTCATACAGTAATCTTTTGGACATTTAGGTTGTTTCCATATCTTGACTAATGTGAACAATGCTGCGATGAACATGGGAGTGCAGATAACTCTTTGAGATCCTTATTTAAAATCTTTTGCATTTATCCAGAAGTGGGATTGCTGTATCATATGGTAGTTCTATTTTTCATTTTTTGAGGACTCTTCATACTGGCTGCGCCATTTTATATTATCACGAACAGTGTGCAAAATTTCAAATTTCTCATATCCTCATCAACACTTGTCAATTGTGTTTTTTAAAATACATATGTGTATATAATAGCCAACCTACCAGGTGTGAGGTAATATCACATTGTGGTTTTGATTTGCATTTTTCTGATGATTAGTGATGTTGAGTACTTTTTCATATACCTGTTCATCATTGGTATGTCTTCTTTGGAGAAATGTCTGGTCAATTCTTTCATCCATTTTTTAATCAGCTTGTTTGTTTGTTTTGTGATTAAGTTGTAGAGTTCCTTATATATTTTGGAGATTAATCCCTTATATATATGGTTTGCAAATATTTTCTCTCATTCTGTAGATTACCTCTGTACTCCGTTGACTGTTTCATTTTTCATATGGAAGCTTTTTAGTTAGATGTAGTCCTACTTGTCTATTTTTGCTTTTGTCACTTGTGCTTTTGGTGTCATATCCAATAAAATATTTTCAAGAACAAAGCCAAGAAGACTTCCCCCTATGTATTATTGCAGGAATTTAACAGTTTCAGATCTTATGTTTAGGCCAGCATCACCATGATATTAAAGCCAAAGGCAGACAATATAAGAAAAGAAGACTACAGGCAAATATCTCTGATAAACATCAATGCAAAATCCCCCACAAAATACTAGCAAACCTAATTCAAAAGCACATTAAAATGATTACACACCATGACCAAGTGGAGTTTATCCTGGGGATATAAGGATGGTTCAACATACATTCAAATTAATATGGTATATCACTTTAACAGAATACAGGATAAAAATCAAATGATCATCTGAATAGATTCAGCAAAAGCATTTGACAAAATTTAACATCCTTTAATGA